CGCCACCTTCAGTCCAGGGCCTGATCCTGGGGTCCTGGGATCGAGTACCATGTCGGGCTCCTTGCATGGAGCCTGCTTCTCCCTCTGCCTGTGTCTCTGCCCCCCTCTCTCTCTCTCTCTGTCTCTCATGAATAAATAAATAAAATCTAAAAAAATATATTAAAAAAAAGACACAGGGGGAAAAAAGTGCTATTTAAGTAGCAAGGAGAATTTCCTTGCTAAGAATAGATAGTACAGTTTCCTCCTCTGCATAAAGAAATCTGAAAGACAACTAAAAAATACTGGAGGAGAAGAGGGAACTGGCCCCAGCCAATTTCCGGCACCTCTCCCCAGGGAATTCTATGAAAAAAAAGACACCCTCTCTGTCCCAGAGAAATGTTTATTTGGACAATTAACAAAACACAAGGGGGTCTTTTAAGAATAAAGCATAGCTGCCACGGACACCTTGGTTTTGCTTCCAACCATATATTAGCTCACATCTTGCATTTTTACCCTTTTACCACTTTCCCCGTCTGAAAACAAACACCTCCCAGAGAGTTTTTCCACTTGGGGAAATGGCATTTCAGGACCCAAGATCTAACTCTGGGTAAAGACTAGATACGGGTCCCTCACTCAGCGCTATTAACACTTATATAAGTATGGACACTTTAGACTCACTGCTATTAGGAAAATAACAGGAACATCAGGAGAGCCTACGTATTCCACCCTGAATTTTTTTTTCTTTTTTTTTTATCCACCCTGAATTTAAACCAAGAACGACCTGGCATGAGTCAGCCAGCCCCAGAATCACTGTTAGTCCTCAACACACGGTGATGGGAACTCAGAGCAAAAGCAAGACAGCTCACCCTGCTGGGCGGCTCACAGCCCGGCTGGGGGAGACAGACGTGTGGATCATCTACCAACACCCACACTCTGCGTGTTACTGTACTGTACCCTGTGGGGTAGATGCTGACAATTCAAGACAACAAATCTAGTTCTGCAGCTAAACGTCATAATGTCCCGTTACAGATATCATCTCATGTGCACCCTTGCCTCCACGAGTATCAAAATTATGATGCTCCAGCATCAACTAGTAGGTCCCCACCGCAGCAGATACTCCAACTGCTGTAAAACCGTACTCATTTGAGCCAATCGGCATCAAGTCACCAAAAAACTGAAACAAAACAGTAAAACAGAAATCAACACAGGCTTGGTTATATCCTTTCATTCAAAACAGATAAAATTTATATTAGAATTTTTTTCTTCAAATTATTTTTAAATCTCCATATCTGGATAAAACAGTTCAGAATCTCACCTTCATATAATTACTGAGTACTTTAAATAAAAGTTTGAGATTATCAAAACGTAGAGGGTATACATCCATGTACCCACATTAATCATATACATGAAACCCCCTCCTTGTACAGTCCTCTCAAATCCCATTTCTTTCATTCCCTCCACTGATAAGTTTTACTGTAAATTTGTTGCCTATGCATGTTTTTATATTTTTCCTACATGTGTTTGTATTCACCACCAACAAAATGTCTTGTTTTGTATATTTTAAAATTTCATCATGTAAACGCTTTCTTCTATACGCAATTGGCTTTTAGCTTTTGTTCTCCATTATTTTTTCGAAAATTATATGTGTTGATACATATGCTCCGATGCATTCATTCTATCTGCTGTATAGTATTTCGTTATATGATTATATCACGATTTATTCAAAAGATATGTAGTTTTTGACAGGTAGCTGCGAGGAGAAAGAACAGAGAATACCACAACTTTAGTTCCAAGAAGAAAGGAGATGGAAAGTACTGGAGGAATCTAGGAACAAGCCTTGGCATGTGGCTACTGTTGAAAGAAGAGGACTAGCTGAAGGCCAGCTATTCAATGAGTCAGAGTGGAGATGACATCTGGGACTCTTCAGCTGATAAAGGGCTAGAAAAGCCTCTGGAAAACTGATTGGTAGTCACTTGGTTATTTAGTAACATCTTGCCTGGAAAGCAGTCCCTTGGCCTTCTCCACTGTTGCCCTAAGGTCATAGTCACTGCCTTTGCAACCTTGTAGAACATACACGAAACAACACAGATTTCAAGTGATTTCTTGAGAAAATGATCATAAATGACAAACTATTGGGGAATTGAATGATTTTCTGGACAGAAGATAGTTTGCTTTTTTACAGTTTAAGTTAGTAATAAAAAGAAAAATCTATTCTCTGTGTTTTTTGGTGAAAGCTTTAACTTTTACATATATGAAACCTATGCTATCATGATTCCAGGCATAAAAATTATCGTAAGACAATACTAAATTTTTAAATTTTTTTTAATTTTTATTTATTTATGATAGTCACAGAGAGAGAGAGAGAGAGAGAGAGAGAGGCGCAGAGACATAGGCAGAGGGAGAAGCAGGCTCCATGCACCGGGAGCCCGATGTGGGATTCGATCCTGGGTCTCCAGGATCGCGCCCTGGGCCAAAGGCAGGCGCCAAACCGCTGCGCCACACAGGGATCCCAATACTAAATTTTTAAAGAAAATCTGATAAATCCCTATGCGCTGGAATGAGGAAATGCATCTTAAAAATATCCACCGTCAAGACATAAGAAGTAGAAGCAGCAGATGTAACAAAATCAGGCACCGCCTTCCAGGAGCTGGGCCTTTCTGAAGGCCTACACCCCCTGATACATTCAATCACATCACTTTGTAACTACACACAATGAGGAATACATCACCCTGTGTAGATTCTGCTCACTGTTAACATGGAAAAAAGATTCAACAAAACAGTGGGATTAAATCTGCAATCTTTCTGGGAGAAGATACTAAAAGACTGGAAAACACTTATGCCGGAGGCATTTAACCAGTAAATACTGGCGAAGTGTTAATAGGCTTAATAATCAGGTCCGGTTATGTTGGCTAGCACCACTCATGCCCTTCCTCGTGTGATCTATTAAAATCACTCTTGCAGTTATTTTTAAAAGTATTTTCTTTTTCTCCAAGTCATAAAACAACCCTGCAAGAGGAAAGTAATTCTGTATGGTGGTGGTGGTGGGGGTCACTGAAAATGCTGAGTGGTGTTAAGTCTCAGGACATGTCTATTATACACCATTAATTCTTTTGGGAATATTTGTGTTTAATAAAAAATACAAAGGAGAATCTTGATTTTTTGTTTCTTTTACTCGAAAGTATTAATTAACCAAGAATTCACTGAAAAAGGAAAAGGCAGATTTATGTTGACATACATGCTGTTTTACTCCTATCATCTGATTGATAGATAGCTAATTTTTATTACGGAAGAGATTTTAAATGGCTTAAATGTAATTCTATGTTTCTCTTAGTAAGTTTTCAAAGCACGGATGCCAAAGAAACTTATGTCATCATCCTTTTGTAACTACACACAATGAGGAATACATCCTTTATTCATTCATAGCATCCATCATCCTTTTTATTCATGAAAGATGCCATGCTCCCAAGTCAAGAAATTTAAATATTATCTTCTATTTCCCCCACTAACTTACAGCTATCAGCTAATATTAACAGGCTTATACAAGGAGATATGAGATAAGGAGAAACTAGAAAAGGAGATATGGACCTTAAATAGACATGGGAAATCTAATTTGTAATTAACATTATCTTAATAAAAATTTACAGGAAACCTAACTCAGAAACTGCAAAAAAAAAAAAAAAGGCAATCTATTATAAAAGGCTCAAAGGAAGATCTGACTGAAATTCTGAAGTTTTCAATCAAGTATTAAAGACAAATGTAAGTTACCTTAAGCATCAAATAAAGGTACAAGGTAAGATAATTTTTTCTATTAAGATATTTCACATAGTTTTACTTCAGTTTTTCTTGTTTACTAAAATGAATTAGAAATATCAAAATAAAAAAAATCAAAATGTTTGGACTTTTCTGAGTCTAGGTGAGAATTCTAATCATTTGGAAGAAGGCAAGGTTTTGATTCTATGGCCAACTTTTAGGCCATTAACCTCTATCACACAGAGATATAAGCTGGAAACTAGTGACAATCTAGACACGTTCTTCAAGAACAATGATTCTTTATCCCCCAGGCACCCTAAAGCTGTAAAACAGTAAGAACCAAAATGGATAGCATTGAGATGTATTGAGTATAGGAGATGAAGTTTGGTTCTCAGATGCAAAGGCTGACCTTCAAAATTTGGTCAACAAAACGAATGCCATTCTCAAACAGTTATCATTTACGTTTCTAATACTCTATACGTTGAGATCTGCATCAACCTCCCTTAAATACTATACTTATTCTTTAAAAAGGACATTGCCCCATCCACTCAATTCTTCAACATACATACCAAATCCCAGTATTTCTAGACCAGCCCTTACACAGTGCTAGTGGTAACAAATCTACCCTAAATTTAGTGGAACATTAAAGGCAATTCATTTCATTCTGCAACTTCCTAATGGTAAAAAACTATGATTTGTGCAAATATGTTGTTAGTCCTCAAAACAAAAGGTTGAGACAAAGTATAAGGAAATCAAGTTTCATACATCTGCTATTTTAAAATAAGATCATGGCATGAGTCAATTCAGTAAGATCTAGATCTAACAGAAAGATGAGTTGGCTTATAGTCTTCATCAACATGGTAAAAGTTTATAATTTACTTTGCATAAAATCCATAGCAGAAAAAACAATCACAGAATTCCGGAACAAATAGAAGAACACTGGTTCCTGACTCAGATCAATTTATACTACTCACAGACCAAATAATGTTTTTGCTTGACTACATAAGAGACTTTTTTTTAATTAAGATTTTCCCAGGAATAAGTAAGCATTTTGCTGACCATGTCCCTAAGGACAAATTCTGAAACGTTTCTTCAAATTATCCTGAAATCACTGATATGTGGCATTTATAAATCAATGCAAAGTGTCTGTTTTCTGAATTCAGTTCATTATCATTAATTCTCCACTTGTCACTGAAAACCTAACAAGTCAGGGAATAATCACATTACAAACTGTACGAAATATAATAAGGAAACAAAATCAGGCTACTTACAGACTTCCTCTTCTGGGGAGACTCAGCTCCTTCTGTGAAAGAAAAACAAAACAAAACATATATATGAGACACCACATTAACCTTGGCCTGGTAAGGCACCGAACAGACAGCATAAAATGTACCATCCTTCATTATGCTTCATTTAGCATTTTCCACAATGAAAAGATCTTGATGTCATGATTTTATGCTGCGTCCCTTCTTACATTGTTCTCTTTATATGCTGTGCTGAGTATAAACACAGTTCGTCTCAACTCCCAAAAGGAAAAGACACTAATCCTCTCAAAGCAACGACAGCAAAATACTAAGTTGAGCCACATGGCTTTAAAATTGAGCATAAGGAAGACCAGAGGAACCAAAGGACTTACTTAAAGAGGAAAGAGATAGAAGGAGGAGTGGAGATTTTACAGGATTATAATTAAATGAAAGGTGAAATGAAAAAAAGGCAGTTGAATCAGACTACTTACCCCAACAGCAATAAAATCACACAAAACCCTGTGCATACCAAAGATATACTTTATTATGATTTTCTTTAAAAAAAAAAAAAGCCAAAGGTCTCCTTCTGGTTTTGTTTCTTAATGTAAATGTGATTTATGACTTTGGATATTCAAAAGTAGGTTAATGAATCTCTCAAAAGGTAACCAGACAGCAACAATTAATAGAGCGCTTTAAAGTCTTAAAAGGGGGTACTCTCACACTTATCGCAAATTAAGATCACTATCCGCCTAACTATAGGGGAGGCTGTGAAAACAAACAAACAAAAAAGCCAACCAACCAACCAGACAAAAAGGGATACAGAAATAGCTCCGCTCAAGACTGAAGATTTCAGAAGCCTGGGTACCCAGGGATGCTTACTTGATAACAATAATTAAAGAATAGGAAGCCATGAGTCATCAGGCTATTTAAACTCCAAAGAACACAGTATAAATTTGAAAGACTTGACTAAATTTAGTTTTTCATTCCCATAATTACTTTTTTTTTTTTGCCTTCCAGGAGCTTGAGCATTATCTTTTGAAAGGTACTTCCCCCTCAGCTCCACATTCACCTTTCCTGTCCTGTATTTTTACTGGATCCTTAAATGTGTGTCACAGACAGTGGCCGCAGATCTTCTAATCAGTGCAGTTTATTCCAGCAGAGCTTACAGAACAGGGCCTTCAAAGTAGCAGACCGAGGGGAAGATGCTGCTTTAACTCTAAGAACACACCTTATTCACCGGCAAATATATTCTGTTGCAGCTCTAATAATCATATCATTGCCTAATTACAGGAAGAAACAATGAACCATCCTAGAAGCAGGAGATCTTCCTCCTCTCAAGGGCTGCAGGATTCAGTGGTGAAATGCTGTATTTTTGTTTTGTTTCGTTTTCTTCCCTCTAATCCTTGATTATCTCCAAGAAATTACAGTGTTTAATCAACTTGGATGCCTGATTGTGAAACATAAATACACCTTCATTTACTAAAAACCCTAAGGACAAGAGAAAAGCTGCTGACCAAGACTGTTTGCCTTGGGAACTGAAATGTAAATAGAAAACCAGCGAGTAATTCTCTGTATGTGTATCTTGGGTTATGACAAGAATTGGAGAAATCTGTTTTGGATTTAGGTGAAAAAAAAAAAAAAAGAAGATGTTTGGGGGCCTGGGGGGCTTGGTCAGTTAAGCGTCTGCCTTCGGCTCAGGTCCTGATCCAGGGGTCCTGGGATCAAGGGACCCCACTCTGTTTCAGGCTCCCTGCTCAGGGGGGAGCCTGCTTCTCCCTCTCCCTCTGCCCCTCCCACTCATGCGTGCGCTCTAATAAATAAATTTTTAAAATCTTTAAAAAAAGAAAAAAGAAAAGGAATAGAAGAACTCCCTAGAAGTAATCGTTCACCAGACTACGTCTATTAGAAAGGAATTACGGAAGCCCCGCTGCACGCAGAGGCCTAGAGCGCAGGAAAACACTGAGGTCCTGGAAGTTGATCTGACAGCAGCACAGAAAGAAAAGGAGGCTGGGCTGATGGGTTATCATCAATAACAGAGTAAGTCAGGTATTATTTCAACTTCATATGCAAATAGATCACTCAGACGATTCAAGAGGCAAGGGCCCAAATGAATGATCCCCAAATAGTCCAATCAATCACATTCCACCAAATGACCCAACTATAAGCTACTGCTCTGCTCCGAGGGGGAAAAAAAAAACGAACCTGCTGAAACAGCAAGATAACGGATAAAAACCAACTCTGTAACTCTGTTTTTAATCAGAGGTCCTTCCAATAGGTCTAGCGTGATGAGTTCCAAACAAGAAGAAAGGTTACGCCGGGTAACCCGGCCCTGCCGCTCCCCGGGATGGCAGCTGAGGCACCAGGATGAGGGGCAGGGGACATTTAATCGGCCACTGTCAACTGACCTGAAGCTTCCACGCTAACCCAGCTGAAGGAGCTAATCCACCCGACGGTCTGAATGTCAGACTCGGGACTGGAAACTCAATTTGGTAGCAAATTGGAATCAGATGTGATGGTAATAAAGTGAGAGAAATGAATGTGTTGTGGCCAAGACCTAGTGAAGAGTGGTTGCAGATGCCAGGAGGATTCCGCTCCTGCAGAACGAGCAAGGGTGGCTCATGTGTGGGGACCACACGCTCATCAATCTGCACCCGCCCTGAAGTAAATGAGCATCATCACGGCGTTTACTGCCAAAGCCCCCGTGGTACACTGTGGATGCGTCTTCATTTCATTTTCTTAATGTCAGGTTAAGGTCACTAACACATACTTAGATAATTAGACAAGACATGTACTATTGGTCCAAGTCATAAACCAGAGCTTCCGCTTAGTCTTTCTGGAACATGCGCTAATAATTCAGCATCAGGTAAGAATCAGGGGAAGGAAGAAGAGTGGGGCAGAGAGAAAAAAGGACAGGAAGTGTCAACCTGAACTAAACAATAAGGAATCAGTAATCATCACAGGATTAAAGAAACTCCTAAGGATACCTTTAAGAACATTAAGGTTTTTAAAGTGGTTTTCACCAATTCTGATTTCTCAGCGACTTCTAACACTTTGTTAGGATCTCTGTGTAGCATTACTCACTGGACAATAGGATTTCCTCTGCCCCCCTTTCTAATAAGAGTGCTGCTAGCATGAATGTTTGCTGAAAACAAGGGTGAAGCAAAGCTAATCTTGTCTGAGAACACTGTCACTTTCTTGTGATTCCTGGGTAAGAGTGAGGACAAACAAGGGTCCCTCAAATCCAGTCAGAGAATTCCCAGAGAATCCAGGAACAAAAGAGCCCTCACAAATGACTCTGCCTCTTTCCCCTGGCCAACCTTGGCCTTGAAGGGAGAAAATAACTTGTCTTATTCATGAAGGCAAGAGAGGAAATCTGCAGTGTTTAATATAGACAAGCAATTTCCACAATGGTAATTTAAAATATATATACTATTTAGTAAGTATTTAATAGTTTTACATCCACAAATAAAACGATATGGCCACATATATTCGGGCAACCTTTGAGCTCTTCTTTTTAACTGATGGGTCATTTTGTAATTGGAAAGAGAAAGGAGATTTGAATATGTTACAAATAATATACGTAGGTACCCCCCTCTCTAAGAGGTGGAACTTAATTCTCTTCCCCCCTGAGACTGGGCTGGATTTAGTGACTTGCTTCCAAAAATCGAACAAAGAAAGGGAAAAATAACAACTTTTCAGGAGAGAAGCCTGACAGACAAGGTCTTAACCAAGTGATCAAGGTTAAGGCCACCTGATAAGTCTTGTTGCTATCACGTGCCCCTGAAGTGAAGTGATGAGAAGAGGCCTCACCTCTATGGTTTTCTTGCTAAAAATCCGTAAGTCCAGTCTAATCATGAAAAAACATCACGCAAACCCTTGTTGAGGGTCATTCCAGAGAACTGATCAGTACTCTTTAAAATTGCCAGGAATGTAAAAAACAGGGAACATGTGATAAACCGCCAGAGATTGAAGGAGAAGGGAAAGATGATGACGAAACACAATCAGTGTAGGATCCTGAGGTGGGTTCTGTATCATAAAAAGGCCGTTAACGGAAAACCTGCTGATGTCCAAATAGTCTGAATTTAGTTAATATAATGTACCGATGTTAATTTAATAGTTCTGACAAATAAATCAAGACTATATAAGATATTAACATAGTGGATGGGGCACCTGGGTGGATTAGTTGGTTAAGTATCTGCCTTTAGCTCAGGTCATGATCTCTGGGTGCTGGGATCGAGCCCCGCATCAGGCTCCCTGCTCAATAGAGGGCCTGTTTCTCCCTCCTCCTCCCAAATAAATAAATAAAATTATTATCTCTCTCAAATAACTAAAAATTTTTAAAAAGAAAAGATATTAACATAGTGGGAAAGTATAGAGAAATTCTCTCAAAGGTCTTAAAACTTTTCTGTAAATTTAAAATCATTTCAAAAAATCTAAGAAGTTCTTTCTCACACAGAAGAGACAGAGGTAGGGAGAAAAGTAAAACTGGGGGAGGATGGAAGGGATGAAGAAACAAATATCTAAATATTCTAAGCTTATTTTAAGGAAACATTTAATCTTAATTTTTAGGAGATTCTATAATCTATGTGAACCTACTTGGGTAGGCCCATCCACGAAGACAGCCAAGTTGAAAAACATTTTTATAGAGCCTATAAAAGAATCAGATGTGGAATAGGAGAGAAATCAAGGAAGGGTCTCAAGTTTTCTTTCTGAGCAAATACAGTTTGAGGGCAGAACAGTTTTGTTTGGACACGTTTCATCCAAGAGGACTCTAAGGATCCCAAACAGAAATTTCCGAATAGGTGGCTGGACTTCTATTAGCCTGGACTCAGGGAAGACACTGGGGCTGAATATAGACTTTGGAGCTTTATGAGCCTTTAAGATGGTAGATAAAGCCATGGGCTGGCTGAGACAGGAAAAGAACAAGAAGAAAAGAAAGAAGTGCACCTTTATTCAAGGTCATGGGCACCACAACATTTAAAATCTGCAGGCAGGCGAGAATCTTGCTACATGTTGTTAAATGGTACATTGCACGATGCAGCCATCGGGGTTCTTGATA